CTAAAATCATAACATTTGGAACTCCATACCTAAGGAATGAACTTAGAGAAATGGCCATAAAAAGAGGACATGAGCTCTCATTCAAACTTCCAATTCGTAAGGCGTTTTTTCTTAAAGGAGAGCAAGACATAAGATGTGCAACTACGACGAATGCTGTCCCCAGAAACTGCGAAAACATCTGAAAGGCTAAGTAGATTTTTAATAGCTTTCACATTCGTAAAGGGAGTAAATATGAACAGTTGCTTACGAGTTTATATACGGTCTTAGTCCACTCCATATTAATATCGTTATTCACCACAACGTAAGCAGGAAGTCCATCCTTGCGCATTGGCTAGAACGAGCAAATCTTTTTGGTGGAAGTTTAGTAGAATTAAACCCAATAGAAAGTGATCCCACCACAATTGTTAAATTTGCTGAAGTAGCAGCTAATAACTGTATGATTATGATGAATAAGCACTGAAACCATGATGTTGTAAGAGAAAATAGGTGAGCGATAGTTACAGCAGGGTGAAAATGTATTCTGGAGAAAAAAAAAATTCCAGAAGGGAGAGCAGCTATCACTGAGCAACTCTTCAATATCCTACGTTTTTAAAGCGGATATAAATAATGTAGCAGCCATAGCATCTGTCACGGCCATTAACACAATTTTCTGAATCCAGGGAACATGACGAGACAAAAGCTCGTCGTCTAGATAAACGGACAAGAAGGTAGTTGCATATACCTGAATCGGCACTTATAAAAAATATGTTGCTGCATGATCTTGGTTATGTTTAAATAATTTACTACTCTTTCGGCGTTATTAATTTATGGTAAAAGTGGCGTTAATTCGCGAGAATAATTTAAAGAATGATGCTAACAAACTTACAAACAAGAACAGTCAATCTTTTCTAAATTCATTCTGACTTACAGCTAAAAACTCGGCAAGGCAAGCTCGTAGTATCGCATCAACCTGAGGTTGACATTTTGCTCGCCTTGAAGTTCTGCTCTGAAAATTACATAAATCCGTTGCACGACAATTTTCAAATATCAAATTATGTCTAAATTGTGGAAAGTCCTACCTGCAATGCATAAGATAGAGATGACGCCATTTGTGTGTGTGGGCGAGCATACTGTTCCTGAAGTTAGGTATCTAGGATTGCAATTTCTCTTTTCGAATTTCATCTAGACAAAGTTGAAGA